TTGGATATAGGATTTGATCCTTAACGTTAACAAGTTTATGTTTGTGCCACACACAGTTATTAACCTGTTACATTTCTGACATTGTGTACATTTGGTTTGCACATTAAATCTGTCCTTTTTATTATATTGTTGTATTTGCTCTCAGGTATTTGCACTCTTTACGACTTTGTACTGCGACTGCTACACGGCAGTTTCCCTCAGGATAAATAAAGTTTTTAAATTAAATCTAATAATATTATATTGTTTCATCATATTTTATGTAAATCCCTTAAGGTGGCATCTGTGTGAAGGAACAATATTTGATGTAATATCACATTTGCATAAAGACATCTGAACTCATTTTTCTCCCTTTTGATAATAATGTGCAGCTGTATTCATAGAGTTAAAATCTGCAAACCCAATAGTGGCTTTTTAAAGAAAAAATCCCCGTCATCCAGTTAGACCCCCACGTGGCTATCACATGGGTTATCTTTAGCGTAAGGGTTGATTATTAAAATTCCCTCCAAGTTTCCCGCCGGACCGCTTATCTACAGGGACTTCCTGTCCCACCCACATTCTCGTGTCGCTTCCGGGTGGCCACACAGACTCATCCAGCGAGCCGCCGTTACCTTAACGTTGTAAACAAAAGTTACTAAACGGTTCAACTCCAGCGACACTTGGCACGAAAAGACATGCATATCAAAACAAGTAAGTTTGTACAACTTTTTGACATATCGGACCAAAATTCCTCACTTTCAGATGTCTTATTTTGTTGTCTTACCGACGGTGTTAGCAGCTGTGCTAGCGGTATTGATAGCAGCCTGCTCGCTGCTTTGAATGGGGGTTACGAAACTTTGACTTCGGCTAACATGCTAGCTAGCTGTACATTTCACGATATGGGGGGGGAAATAAAGCCATCTCTTCGACGACAGCTTTTGTTGTTGGGCATTTGGTGAACTATATTGGTTATATTATAACCACAGACGAGTAAATCCGTCGAGTTTTATTCGCCGCGCCATGACGCTGCTAATTAAAGTTTGCTAACACCGGTGCTGGCTCGTAGCTTCTGCGGTCTCGTTAGCTGCCAGCTCCGCATACACGAAGCATTGCGTGTTGTTGTACCGAAGAGACGCCAATAAAGCAGCCAGGTCTGTGTTCTAGCCCGAGCCGGCGAGTTGGTACAGTCAGACCATTTCTCGAAATTTCTGACACGGTGCTTGAGGAGGCGCTCGACTGGCAGAGTACCCTGTTTTTTTTGTTTTTTTTTCTTCCCTTTTTTTTTGTTTTTTTTAAATGTGGCGCTTAGCGGGCTCGCTGTTCAGGCCGAGTGTATTCATATTTTAATCATATGGGTGTTTCACTTGAATCTGTGACCCCTCAAGTTCTGAGACAATACAAAGAACCTGTTGTGAGTTTCGTTGCTTTTGCCTCCGAGGAGGTATTTCCAGTTGACGTACCGTTAACAACGACCCGACTTGTGCCATGTGGACAGAAAAAGAAAAAAAAAAATTAAACCTTCCCGTCAAACCCTCGTTAATTGACTATTCTGTTTCTCTCACTAAACGTGACTGACAGACTGTTGTGTAACACTGGTGTCTGGTGACCAGCTGACTACAGCCAGTAATTAATCATTGTTTTTAAATACTAAGGTAAGTAAATATAGGCTCGGAATAGATAGCAGGGATGTGGCTTATCAATTGTTGGCGTCTAATTTCCTTGGTCAACTTAATTGGTTAATCAACTAATTGTTTCAGCATTACAACAGCACACACACACACTCACTGGGCAATTTGATGAGCTTTTTCATTTAGTCATTTTCCTACTATCAGTGGAGCAAATGCCCCATATGAGATGTTTTGCTGCAGCTGTTCCTTCCTCTTAGTTTAGCATCGGGTCATTTTGTTCTTTTCGGCACAACTTGGAAAACAGGCAACTGTTGTTCTGCTGAAACTCAACTGGCACAGTGAAGTCACATGAAAATGTGTCACCGTCCACCCCTGATGTTTGTTTATATGAAACGGCCAAGTGCAAAGATCCTTTATGAACCAGTGCCAAGTGGTTGGAGTGTGAAACACCTGTTTGTAAAATAAGAGCAGGATAGGGATTCAGGGATGATTTTTACACTTTAACAGGGTTTTAAGTCTGAGCCCAAATGTTGGTGTCCCCCCGTAGTGATTATTTCATATCAGACTGTTCACCAGGACCTAGAAAAACAGTTTCTGGTATGTGTGCTATGCAGATATGAGTACATTAGATAGCAGATATTTGACTCACATTTCAACACCTCTGTTTCAGGTTCATGGGAAGCCAGTAACACTGTGTGCGAGTCCGATACCCTGTGTGACCCAGCAGTCCTTGTTTCAGCCACCAACTCCGAGCCTCACATTCGCAACCGCCGCCTGTCTCCTGGCTCGGGCAACTGTGGAGGTGGTGGGGGTGGAGGCTGCATTTCTGGAGGTGACCAACAGCCCCGACAGCGTTCACCCGAAGGCGAACTGATCGGAGCCGGCCACACACACGCCTTGACCTTCCGCAGGGAAAAAGAGCGCAGAGGCCAGCAGCACAAAGGCCGCAGCCTCCGCAGGGAAAGCCAGAAAGGCGTCAGCCGAGTGAGCGAGAGGCCACAAAAGGGTATCCAAAAGGAGAGGTGGGTCGAGGACGGTCTGTCACTGCTCAAGCCCCCACCCGCCTTCCCAGTGCAGGACAGCCCCGCCAAGCTGCAGCCCGCCGTCAGCTACGCCTCCAAGGTGAAGGTGAAGGCGGGGGCGGCAAGCGGAACGCTGGAGGAGGACCGCCCCGCCATCGGCGTGCTGCTACAGAACCAGTGGGGTCTCAGTTTCATCAGCGAGGCGAGGCCGGCCACGGAGGGCCCCAGCACTCGCCCCGCTACCAACGCCCTCCCCCCTCAACCCACAGACGCCGAACAGTCAGCAGAGCTAACATTCGAGACAGTTCTCACAATCCAGCCCCCTGAAGAAACTCCCATTCCAGTCGCTACCTCCATCATCCCTCCCACACGCCCAGAGGTGGACGAGAGCAACGGGAAGCTGCTGCTTAGTTGTCGCCATCTAGTGGAGGCTTTGAATTATCACAGTAGAGGTGAGCGCTGAGAGGAGCTGTGAAGACGGTGCCCTGCCACATTTTCCTTTTGGAATATTGTCATTTCAGTGCGTTGCCTCTAACAGTGTCTTTTTTTTCCTCCTCAGAATGGAATGCTATTTGTAACAAACAGAAAAAAGGTAGGTTGACCATGTATCATTTGGGTTTAATGCCGATATGGTGCTAAAATTATACTTTTAAAATGGTACCATGCGTAAACCAATACTTTGATATATTCAAGGCTTGATTTTCAACACAATCTGGTGTTCAATCTACACAACCAGAATTCTTTTGTTTGTCGTGATCATGATCAAAGTATACAGTCCAATTTAATGTGAACAGCTGGTAAAAGCAACAGTTACAATATTTCCAATTTGAAGAGCAAATTTCCCACTGTAAATAAAATGTATATTTATATTGAAGCCTGACCGATACCAATTTTAGAGGGGAAGAATTCACTGATTACCAGTATGGAGGCCAATATAGTGATGTTCTGAGCTGCTAATCTTTGTGGACTGTGCACTAATAACTCTGCAAAGGTACTCAGAAAGCAGCTTTCTTCAACACATAACTTTATTAAAGAATATTTAAGTTAATTGTCAACCTGCCAATTCTGACTGACGTTGCTGAGAGCTGCTTCTCTCTTACTGTGCTGCTTGTCACAGTATTGTAAATCACAGCACTCTAACTAAACCATTATTTTCCCATAAGCATGTTTTTCTGCATTATATACCGTGAAAAAACAGTTTTTGTATCAGGTAACATGTACCTGCGACACGCCAATGTCAGTTGGACTCGTTTATAGCTTTTTATTGTACGGCAGTCAGCTGGAACAAAGAGTCCAGGATTGTAAACAATCAAATGTTATCAGTTTGTTTATTATAATGCCATGCTTAATATAGATTTATCTGACATGTGTTGTGTCTTTGCGTCTCCCGCTGACATTTTGTTCTTTTTCTGTTTTGCAGTTCCAAAAAAGGTAGTTTGGTATAAGGAGACCCGGGAACACCCAGCCTAGCAGTGTGACAGACCCAAAGCATATGTAAACACACAACATACACCTACATGCACATTAAAACACGTAAAGATGGACACATTTTTGAGTCCCGTTCACACACACTGCACTCAGGATGATGTCTTCACGCAAAGCCACACTGACACTTTGGACTAACTCCTTTGAGATCTTACAGCAATGGACTTTTTTAACGCCTTACAGAAAGCCTGCCTTAATTAATCAGACCTGTTTTCATCGCCTCTCATTACCATTTTTAGCTTGTATGTGTAGAGCTGGTCTTTTTTTTTTCTTTTTCTTTTTTTAAACAATCTCTGAGGAGCTGTAATTTAATTTCCCCCCTGTTGAAAGGTGCAGTTTTATCAAACTTTTTGTGTCCTCTGTAAAGCGTGCGGTCAATCAAGCACTTTGTTAAAAAGAATCTGTTGTGACCAATCCCTGTGTGCGAGAAACCCTCAGAGTGATTTACCCCCCCTCCCTCCCCTTCTCCATTACAAACACCTGCTTGAGTTTTATGGTTATTGTATGCAGAGGACTTGTGTATCCGTGTCTTCAGTTTACAGAGGGGTGTAGTCAAAGGCACAGTAGAGTTCACCCTTTACCCCTGTCAGATCTTAATGCTGTGTTCCTTTTCTTTGTTTTTATTTGGTTCCCTAATCGGGCGAATGTTGCTCATAAATCCATAAGGGATCTCACCATGTTCAGTATGTTGATTTTTGAAAAGAATTTATTGAATAAAAAAAATTTACACTGGAGAAAGAGGAGGAATGTAAGTGAACAGTATTGCTTAATAAAAATGAATAAACTTGATGAGTTTCATCCTAGTCTGTTTTTATCTGACAGTTCAAAGTAACGTTTCCCTCCTTGATACTGAGCAGAAACAGTTTAAGTAAAACAGGACTGATTGAACTTAGCGGGTACAGAAACTTTATTTGCGGCTTTAAACTGTAATTCAGACAGAAAAACTCAAAACAAACTCTTGAATTCTTAATTTTCCCAGAATTCAGTGTCTCTTCAGGAGCTCTAACAGACCTGCTGCAACATGTGGCTGAGTCCATCAGTCTCTCCACGTCACCTCCACCTCATCTGTTCTGTACCTGCAACAGGAAAAATGCTCATGTCAGCATGGACACATCAAATATTCTACTTTTCTATATAATACACCAAGAACACACTGCTGAAGAGTTTCTAATGATTAACAGTCTTTTAGCTGGGGGACCCTGAAAAAACACATTGGATCCAACTTTGTGGAGCCACAAGCGGCCATTTTGGATTTCCAGGATCACGTCATTTCCCACAGAGAGCCAGAAGCAGAAACTACATACAAACAGGTGTACCTTTGTGTAATCCACGAGTCCTCCAGCTCCGTCACCTGTCCAGACCTGAACATCTCCCAGCCGGCTTGAGCGATCATTGCTCCGTTGTCTATGCAGAACCTGTGGCACAAAGTGAGCGCTGTTATCTGGACTCAACCTGGAACACACGTTCACTTTTCTTTTTTTTTTCTTTAAAGTACCATGCCAGTGATTTTGCATGTTCAGCCCATTTACTGCCACTCACTTAACATTACTGCGAACTATTCTACAAAGCATGCTGTGAAAATGCATGTAATCATGTAAGCAGTCTGTAGGAAATATAAAAAAATAAAAGCAAAGCGTTGGAACTGTGAACACTCTTAACTTCAGATCAATAATAATAGTAGATCCACTGGTTTACCTTTCATCTGTGGCAAACAGTTTGGCTCCTCTCTCCTTACACATCACCCCCATCATCTCCTGCAGACGCAGGTTACCTGCAGAGGAAAGCCGAGGTCACAGTCTCTACAGGATGGACTCTTTCAAGGACAGTTCAAGGACAGTTCAAAGCTTCTGATGAGGCTTTAAGGGTTGAATTGGGACTACTTTGTTTAGTTAGTGATAGGAGTGAACCTTTAACTGAGAAATCTTTACAGTGGTTGTGATTAAGGAATGATCCCAAAACAGGTATTTTTTGGCCCTGATCTTATCAGTTATTTAATATCTAGCAGAGTTCTGAATACTTTTATTTTTCTAGATCCTCAACTGTATGAACACAGGTGGAAACAGCCTTTGCACTAAAGAAAAACGCCTGCAAGCCAAGCTGTTCCTTAAGTATTTTTTTTTTAATTTTGTAGCTGTATGATCTTTTTTTGGTTCTTGTTGCTGTCTGGAGGGAAATTTCTCTCCTTCCTTTAGAAAGGGTCTTGCAGTGTTTTTGTTGCTTCAGTAGCAGCCTGGGTTACCTGAATGAACTGGATTCTGCTGAGTGTTTGATTTATCCTCGCTGGTGCATCTTTTTACAGTTTACATTAATAATGATCCACTGGCTTTTTGTTTGCGGGCTGCTCATGTGATTTGGACTGTCACGACTGTGAGCAAAAAAAGACAGAACTCCTGCCACATATAGCAAAAAGATCCCTTGCAGTCTGAGTGTTGGACATTTCATTTCCAAACAAATCCAGTTTATCGTGGTGTGTTATGAAGTTATACCATAACATTAAAAAGGAGGAAAAATAAGAGCCACAAACAATTCGGACAGTAGGAAGCTATTTCAATTTCAGCAAAAGTAAACATATAGGAGTGTATATATTTTAATTTATATGATGTCAGGTATTCATAAAAGGATCATTATCCCATTTAAAGAATAATATAAAATATAATGGGGTTCCCCACTAAAATCAACAGTTTCTGTTGGTATTTTCGTGTTAGCTGTGACGCTTGGAACTGCAGTAAATTGTAGCTACTAGAAAGATCGGGACCATTTGGGCCAGTGGTGACTGAATACTTGAAGCATCCAAATCACTGGATTGCTGATACTTACAAGGCCAAAACCCCCGACCGATGAGGAACCTCCTGGGAGCCGCAGTGAGCCATGGCCCTCTCTGTGATCTCCACCAAGCATTGAGAAATAGATCTCCTGCAGGAAAGGGGTGGTGGTTAGTGCTGGCCAATACCTGAAATCATTTTACATGATTGCAACAGTTAAGGTTGATTAAACCGATTGTTGTATGAATGGTTTTCAGGTAAAAATGCTCGCTGAAAAAAAAACTGAACATTTGAGTCCATTTGAGATGTCCTAAAACATTATGAGACACATTTGGGCTTTTTCCTAACAAGATAAAAGACAGTATGTATGTGTCATTAAAGTTAGTTTAAGCAAAAAAAAGGGAAAAGAAAATAAACAATTTTCTTTGATAATATATAACACGTGTGACCGAGCAGCAAAATAATCAAAATACTCTAGTTCTAGTACAAATCTTGTTCACCAGATTTTAGAAAAAACATAATTTGTTTGGCTACAGACCCCAACAAATCACAATCCATCATGATGTTAATTAAAAATGTGGGAAAAGGATCAATGAATCATACTGCAATCGCACTTAAAAATAATCTGTCAAGAATTACGTGCAATGTGAAGTTTTTACAAGTATCGTATACAGCCCTAAGTCAGCTAGAGGACAAGATATTTTCATTTAATAGAAAAAAAAACATTAAAACCAAGGGTGTCACACACACCTTCCGGTTTTACTTGCTCTAGCTTCTGGCTGCAGGAAGTGAGATGGCTTACAGGGCAGAGCAAATACTATCACAAAACTAACCACTTCTGAAACTTCTTTGTGGGGCCTGAGATTTCTCCTCAGCCCACAAAAACATGATGAGTCCATTTTTTTTTCAAAACTTGCTTTGCTACTTTGTAACAAGACAAGCCTGCTGATAGGCCCTCCAGAGTCCCAAATGTACATAATCAAATGATTAAAAAGTTGGTTTTGCATAATATGTCCCCTTTAAGCCAGCAAATCACTGTATGACACTCCACATGTATAACAATATCATAGACACATTTGGAATTGGAGAGCACGAGGCAGCACTACAGCTGTTCTTCGTACCTGCAGGGAGAAACACAGGTCCTCTGCTGCACACTGACCAGAGCTCAGCATCTTATGAGAAACCTCCTGTGGAAGAAAAAAAGAGAAAAACCTTTAGGAACAGGAACCAAAGCAATGATGAAGTAGCAGACAGAAAACTGTAGCTTCAGGATTTTAATTATCATCTGCAACAAGTCAAAAGATATTTAGCTGATAGCACTTACTGTAGATACATCTTTCCACTCACCTCAATGTAGGACAAAATACCAGAAAATGAGACATCCATTCCTTTTACTGTATATGGCAGCTCCACGTACTGACTCCCTCTAACAGCAGGCACAGGAAGTGAAGTCATGTGAAAACAAGTATTAAGACACATCCCAAAAACAGTCGAGGGAAGCTCACTCACTTTTTGGCCATCTGCTCTATGTTGTAGCCTGGACTGGGGTCATTGGAAATCTGAGTGAAGAAACAGTTATTAACACACATCAACCTCATACAGCGGAAGTCAAACTGTTGCTCTCACGAGGACCCCCAGTGACACACACCTTTATAACACGAGCGAACCTGTCCAAACAGTTGCCAACGGCGATGTCGATGGTCTCCCCAAATATTCTGTACCGCCGCTCTGAGTACGCAATAACCTGCGCAGGAAGACACGGACAAAAGTATGATTACATTTGTGGTTAACCCACTGTTTCACTGACCGCTGATCATCAGGAAGAGCAGTGCAGAAACTCAGTGCCATGACATGCAGTTTTTCCGGGAGGCCTACGGACAGGGTGCAAACTACGTGTGACATTTTGGGTTGTCTCTAGAATATGTTTGCAATGCATTTAGATTTTTCTGTATCATCATGGATCATGTGTAAAATTACGCTATTATTGATGTATGATCCATTGTTGTGACTCTCTGGCCCAGTACCGATAGCTACGATGGTGAATGAAACACTACAGTGTGTGTTTGTCCCTGTCCTTGTGTAGTATTTCTGCATTATTTAGATTTTACCCTATTGTTTTGTATCATTTAATAGTCCATATTGTGCCATTTGCAGTAGGAACCATTACATCTCCCTGCGCTCCAAACACACCGACCCCACACACCTGTGGATATTTATTACTTGATTGCGTGTCGTGACCCATGACCCGCATGTTACTGCCCCCTTGTAGTGGCATACTTGTACCCAAACAATATAAACTACTGTTTCACAAAGACACTAAAAGAACACCCATACTGGCTCCAATATGTATGCCACCTACTGACACCACAGGTTGCCGTCTATGGAGGCCGCCATGTTAAACCACCATCAGGGTTCCCACTCTTTTTAACAAATCATTTTCCAGGACCTTTTCCAAACATTTTCCAGGACCTTTTCCGGACAAAACAGGACAGTGCTTGCTCAAAAACAGCCATATACCTTACAGGTAGCTAGTATCGACACGTTTAACTTAAGTTTTATTCCTCCTTTTTTTAAGGATGCAGGTTCATTACAGGTTGGTGGTCAGTGTTTCAGACACCCTGCGTTAATTTGCTTAACTGGCTGTTTTTTCCTCTGCGTTCTGTCCAGTGAATTGACTACATTTTATTACAGTTTTCCTCTAACAGTAACATGACTTTGGCCACAGCCAATGAATAACGGTTCTCACCTTTTAGCCAATTAAAATAAGCAGCACAAAGTGTTTGTTGCATGTAATGAAAAATATATACTTGACACTGAAAAGATTGCTGCAAGTTCATCCCACGTCTGATAAACCTACTCTGAAGTGTCATGCGTGCAGGTTCTCCTGCCAACAGTCTAGTTTCAAACGAAATACATAGGCGATCTAAGGCATAGCTCTGAGTGAAGGGCTTAAATACAATTCCACTTTTCCATGGACTACTTAGATTATTTCCAGGATATTTGGTCATTTTAATCAATGTCCAGGTTTTTCCATGACTGGAAAACTAGTCTCTCAGTTTGTGTCTCCCAGGTTCTGACAGTAGCCCAGAACAAACAAACCAAACACTGGATAAAGATAAAGATAAAGATGCTACAAGCTTGTCCTTTAAGTCACTGTTCCCAGTCCCATGTGCTCAAGTAAGGGCTATTCCCAATTGAATGTATCATTCAGTGTTTTGAGGATTGTTTTTTTGTTGCTATTTGCCTGTTTGTGTTGCTATATCAGAATCAGAATCAGAAATAATCCCAGAGGGAAATTATATTAATATATAGGCATGCTATTTCTATTTAATGCTCATACATTTGTGTGTTGCTGTTTAGCTATTTGACCGTGTCGTATTTGTGCCAATAAACAATGATAAAGAATATAATACATTGATCTCAGAGTATCCTGGGCCCTGCTTCAGTTGGCTGTATTGTATATAATGTGATGTTTAGTTTTGATACTTGTGTGGAGGTTTGATGTGATGACTTATTACCGAGGGAGTTCTAGGCTGAGGGTGTGTTGGTGCACTGACGGACAGACACCCACCTGTGTGTTTCCTCCACTAACATAAAGCACAGTGGGGTTGTTGGCTTTTGTGATGAGTCGGCCCATCTCAATGTGTCCGATACAGTGGTTGACACCGAGGAGCGGCTTTCCCCAAAGCTGTGCGACTGTACGGGCCACCAGAGCCACTGTTACCAAGGGGGCACCCATACCAGGACCTGAAAGAGAAGAAGGAAAAGAAGAGAGATGAGGAGAGATGAAGAGAGAAGAGAGAGAGAGAGAGGGATTGTTTGTCATGTTGGAGCCATAAAAACATTGTTTCCACTCCAACATTACTTCCACTTATAAAGAGCCCTTAGCCTAAGCAAAGCTACTTAATAATCAATAATCGATAACTGGTGTAAGTGTTGCCTGGTTAAAGACATGACAGCTTAGTTTTCTACTGGATGTGTTGAATCAGGGTGTCTTTCAGTCAATATATTGTTTCTATTCACATCTGTGCTTTCCCTACTCTTACACCGATTTCCATACCCTGTTGCAGTGGACAGATTAACCGACAAATACTGTTTCAGAACCTTTTTTCATCTTAATAAAAAGGAACTAAAAGGAAAGAAGTTAATCCTGCGGTCAGGATGAACAAGTTGTCTAATCACTATGCAATGAAAATGGGTTTACTTTGCCTGTGACAGGGTGGAAATATTTTGTTTGTTATAGTTCGTTTGTTTGTGCTGTCATAAAACCCTAAAAGACTCTAGACTTGGAACAAAACGACACAGGAAAGCTTCTTCCAATGTAACCTCTAAATGTGTCTTGATATTAGACTCCCAACTTTACATCGTAGTCAGTATTGTTTATAAGAATCCACTGCCCCTGAGAAATAAATAAATAAATAAGCAAAAGAAAAGAAAATATCCTAGATACATCCATTTAAACTAATAAGCACTGTTTAAACTCACATAAGTTCTTCTCATTTGTTTTTTGTTCTAGTCAAGACGCTGAATGCTTTCAGGTTGAAATGTACTCCTTATTGTGACCGTTTAAATCTTATTCAATAAGACCCGGATCTTGTGTTACCTTTGGTGTACGCCACACAGTCGATGTCTGCAGGCTTCAGCCCCCTTGCTCCAGCGCTTCCTTCAGGACAGTCAGTATGACAGCACGGTGGTGCCTGGAGGTGTCGCTCGGCATGAAGCCTGGATGGGTAAAATAACGCGGTCAACTTCACGTGCATAGTGTTAGACTGGTGATACATTGCCAGTGAGGTGACGCTGACAATAGTTGCTTTAGCAAGAAATGTGACTTTGCCTTGACCAGGAGGGTGGATGTAGGTCCCTCTAGGGTTGGAAAGCACTTCACCATCCCTGATGGATCCGATGCCGATCTTATTGGCACTGCCCTCAAATCCAATTACTACAGTCATGGCAGCACAGAAATTTTCTAGAAAAGAGAAAAGCACATGCACAAGACTAATGCATCTCGGCTTTGCAAGGAAGCCAAGATGCTTAATGTTACAGCAGTAGAGAACACTGTAAAGTCTACTGGTTATTGTTACAGTATTTTCCTTTAATTGCTATCTCTTTTGGAAGTGCACAACTGACAAAGAAAAAAATTAAAACATTTGATCTTTCCATCGCAGCCAGTCAAAGCCAGGTTTTTTTTTTATAAGCAGCCAGTGGGTGGGTACCTATCCATACCCCACTCCTGGTTGACCACACCCACTCTTGGTTGACCCACCCCGCGTCTGTTGACCCCACCTCCTGCTGTATAAAAAACAAACAAAAAAAG